CCCTACAGCCAGAGTCAAGGTAAACGGCCACCTGTCAGACGCCTTTCAAATCCACAATGGCACTCGACAGGGTTGTTCCCTGTCACCTATTATTTTCATTCGGACCTTGAAACCATTCCTAAACTGCCTGAGGCACTCGGAGTCTATCAAGGGTATTCACATTAAGAACAAGATGTACAAGATTGCGGCTTTCGCCAATGATATGCTTCTTTTTCTGTCCGACCCCCTTTCCTCCCTTCCTTCGCTGTTAGAGGAGCTGAACCATTTTGGTGATCTATCTAACTTGGCGATCAATTTCTCCAAATCTTACGCTCTAAACATTACTCTAGATCCCGTGTTGATGCAGAGATGTGTTCACAATTTCCATTTAGCTGGCAAACGGACGCAATTACCTACTTAGGCATACCATACAACTGACAGCAAATCCCCAATCATTGTACACACAAAACTTTCTCCCTCTGCTTACATCTATTCAGCAGGATTTGAAAAATTGGGACAAAGCATGTTTTTCATGGTTCGGCAGGGCAGTAATTGTGAAAATGACTGTTTTGCCACGTTGACTTTGTTTTTCAAATGGTCCCCATAAGAATCCCAGTAGCGTTTTGTAAATCGTTGAGAACCACTGTAAAATCTTTTAAATGGAATTCTAAACCTTCCTGATTAAATCTAAATACTCTTATTCTACCCTGCCTTAAGGGCAGTATGGTTTTACCGGATTTTAAATTGTATTACAGAATGTTCCATCTAGTGTGCATTGTAGATTGGCACCTTCATAAGGCCCAGAAAGATTGGATCGCCATTGAACAAGCGTGTGCCCCCAGCCCTCTGGCCTCTCTTCCCAGGCTGGTAGCTGGAAATATGTGAGCTGCGACTACAGATCATCCTTTAATAACGGCCTCTCTGAGTAGCTTCCGTGAGGCATGCGCCTCGGATCATGAGTTTTCCTCCACTATGGGTCCATTAACCCCCCTGAATTTTAACCCCGAATTTCTACATGGGATCGAGGGTGGAATCAGGCTCCCAGGTTGTCCAGAAGATTGCTTAGTGGCCACTCGATTTTTTGAGAAAGGAGTATTTAAGACTAAACCCCAGCTGACAGGTCCTTCTCCGTCCTTTTCTTTACCATGGTGGCTTTACTTTCAACTGCATCACTATTTAAATTCCTTCCAAAGGCGACAAGCGTTTGGTAGACCGCTTTCTTGTTACGAACAGTTATGTTGTTCGAAATCCCCCCCAACGTCATTGAATTTCTACAATTTACATACTTTTCTTTAAGAACCAATCTCCTAAGACTCTCAAATCAGTAGCATCATGGGAAAAGGACCTCAACCTTTCCCTCTCGAAGGAAGTGTGGCAAACAGTGCTTGCAGTGATACATAAAGGGTCTAGTAATGTAACAGCCTAAGAACACAATTTTAAAGTGTTTTCCAGATGATATAGAACCCCTATGATTCTTAGGAAGATCTTCCCAAACACTTCTGATCAGTGTTGGCGCTGTGGATTAGATGTGGGAGATATGCTGCATGTCTGGTGGACGTGCCCAATGATTCAGCCCTTTTGGAACGAGGTGCATAACCTAATTGTCCGCATTATATCTTTTGACCTAGATTTCAGTCCCCCTCAATACCTTTTCCATCACCTTTTCCACCACCACCTTTTCAGTTATGGGATCTTCTTATCGCAGATCATTGCCCATGTTTTTTATCACAGCAGCGCGAATGTGTATCCCAACTGGTGTACGACAACGATGCCCACCTTGCAAGAGTGGATCTTGCATGTGAATAGATTGGCTGAATTGGAGGAACTGATCCATATTGCCCTGGACTCTATCCACACGTACTCCCAACGTTGGGCGTGCTGGCTTCACTTTCAGACCACTGGGGAATACCGTGATTTCTGGAAGGGATCAACACCGACAGGACCTGTACCGATGGCACTATATAGAACCCCATAGAGAATCTGTGTTCTTGTGGGGAATGCTGTGCACTCTCTCCGATTGAGCAGCATTCTGGTCTTAAAGCTTGTTTCTCTTACACTTCTGTGAATCTGACCTGACTATGGAAACCTAGAGCTCTACTGGCTGAGAAATTGGGTATTTTCCTGATTGTGATCTTTTTTGTCCCTTCTTGGCTTTCTTTTTATGTTCTTCATTGTCAGTTTTGTTTCCTCCCCCCACCCCCCATTTTTTTTTCTTCTTTCTCTCTCTCTCTTTTTCCCCTTTATCTCTTTTTTTTACTACTGATGTATTATGATCACTTTTAAGACGATCAAGATTATTCAATGGTATTTAGTCATGGCGACTTTTGTTTCTTTTATATGTATTTAGATGCAATGATGTTAAGTTTTGGAGATATGCTTCATTTTCTAATTTTGATCTTACTGTTGTCACTGTGGAATTCCACTGGATACTAGCTGCGTCTTGTCTTACATGTGTGCTTACTTCTGTACTCCTTGTATCTTCTGTAAGTTTATCATTATGCCTTTTTTTGTATGTTGATATTTGCATTAATAAATATAATTCATGGGGAAAAAAAACTGTAAGCAAAAGAAATTAACAAGGTAAGCCTGAAAACCTACCTCAACCTATGATGTGGAAAACCTTCACACTTAGAGGGATGAAAGTAGTGGGTTTTGACCTTTGGCTTTCTTGTACTAAAACAAACCAAGCTGAACCAAATGTAGTAGCAGCCTACTACTCAGAGGCCAACTGTAAACAGCTGATCAGTGCACATGCCAGGCACCCCGAATGTTTGTAACCATTTTTCACCTCATCATACAGAGATAGAAATATTCTTTGAAGTTGTGTAGAGTGAATTATTTGAAATGGTAACAGACACAGAGTTTAAAAACCACTTAAATTATGAAATATACATATATTACAGACTTAAAAATAATAAATGCTATCCAAAATTTCAAGACAAGCCAAACTGAACTGTATTTGTATTGTATTAAGGAGTGAACAGAAGTCTATCAATATATGCTTGGAAATATGTTCAGCTGTTTTCATACCCCAGTGAAAGCATTCAAAGTGGAGTAACCTTTAGCAGGTCATCTGATCTCAGTTTTATGTAGCCAATATGCTTAAAGATAATTTATGATCTAATGTTATGTGTTACCTTAATGGGCACTTTCTCTCTGCCTTATTAGATACTCCCACTACAGCTTTCCATTTAAAAATGCAGTGAATTAATGGATTTCTTATCTTGTAAACGTGACACGTATGGCTAATCCAAACAGAAAAAATAAACCTGATTAAATGTAAAATACAGTTAATGGTGTATCAGTGTGAACAGTTTCATGTTTATTAAAATAAGGAAATAAAACTAAAGTGAGAATTAACAAGGCTGATGTATCTATTTCCAGGTGTTGGTTTTGATAGAGAAGCAAGCATACGTTGCTCCCTAGTTCATTCACAATCTGTTCTGCAGAGGAGACGAAAACTGAGAAGGAGAAAAACCATATCAGGAATTCCCAGAAGAGTGCAACAAGAAATAGGTTTGGCTCTTCATTTAGCATAAGTCTGTTTAATGTTATAGCTACTACATGGCTGCCAAGCTTGGAGCTATTTATAGTTGTCATCATCTAATGGACAAGTGGTTAAGTCATGTTATTATGGGTACCTCCTCAATAGATTTCAAATCCATTGCGATGGAGGCCTGTAGCTCCACCTTCTGGCTGAAAATAGTTAATATGAAATATCTATATGGGGTATTTTATATTTAATTGACCAAAAATGGAAAAAAAAATGCGCTGAACCTCATAAATAAAGAAAAAAACATATATAAAATACTGTACAATCCTTTGATAGAAAAACCTGCTTGATCTTACATTTTTACTTTCTAAACAAGAAAAAATGTGAGCCATATCATTTTCTTTTTTACATTTTCTTTTGTACTATAATATCTCCAGCTTAACCAGCTGAAATGCTGTCTAAGAAAACTAGATAATTTAAGACTGTAATTTAATAATAAGACTATAATAATATTAAGTTTATATTTGTTTATTTATTTATTGTAGATTCAGATGAGTCTCCTGTAGCAAGGGAACGGAATGTTATAGTTCATAACAACCCTGAGCTTGCAAACTCTTCAAATAGGAGATCTGGAACCAGAGATACAGAGTGCCAAACAGAGGATATTCTTATTGCTGCTCCATCAAGGAGAAGAATTAGAGCTCAGAGGGGCCAAGGAGTGGCAGCATCACTCTCACATTCTGCAGGAAACATTGCAGCTTTGACTGAGAGTGGTGACCAAATGTTTACGTCAACAGTGTCCAATCGAATTCGTTCACGTAGTCTTCCCAGAGAAAGTGCAAGAACAAGTAATGATCATGATAGAAGTGCACAATCTTCTGGTTATAAAGATGATTGCTATATAAGCAGCTCAGAGAGGACATTAAAGAAGAAAGATGACCATTTGACCAGTGAAGATTCCCCAGAACACCAACCTCTGGGGTTATCATATTCTCACCATAGTCCTCAACTGAATGAAAGAGGGAGATCAAGGCTATCAAGAATGGCTGATTCAGGCAGCTGTGACATTTCATCAAATTCTGACACATTTGGAAGCCCTGTTCACTCTATTTCCACTACAGGAGTTTTACTGAGCACACACATAGATCAGAAAGATGATCATCAGTCATCCAGTGGAAACTGGAGTGGAAGTAGTTCCACATGTCCATCCCAGACTTCAGAAACAATACCTCCAGCAGCATCCCCTCCACTAACTGGCTCTTCACATTGTGATTCTGAATTATCTTTAAATACTGCGGCCAATGCCGGTGAAGACTCAAACGTATTTAGCATTGAACAATATAATGATGATCACTTAGACTGCCTTAGAGGACACAGGGCAAGCTCCTTTACATCAACTGTTGCAGATCTGCTTGATGACCCAAACAGTAACACTAGTGACAGTGAATGGAATTATCTTCACCATCACCATGATGCTTCATGTCGTCCAGATTTCAGCCCTCAGCACTTAAAGGGAGATGGTTTAGGTTGTCCAAGTTTTGCCAGTCTTGGAACATATGACAGCTTTCTTGAAAAGCCTGCCTCAGAGAAAGCAGACACAGCATCTCATTTCTCTGTAGACACTGAAGGATATTACACCTCCATGCATTTTGACTGTGGTCTTAATGGTAATAGGAGTTACATATGTAACTATGCACCGCCAGGGACTGAAAATGAACAGGACACTGGAATTTCATCCATGAGTACAGACAGTGTTTGGCAACATTATGTGGATCACAGAAAACAAGGAATACAGAACATGTCATTTAAAAAACCAAAGGCAAAGCCTCCACCACCAAAACGATGCTCATCTTTGAAAAATTCTGACAACTACACAGATGTTCTTGAGACGAAAGAACCAAAGATTACCAGCGCACAACAAGTGCTTCACACCTCCAGGGAAATGAAATTGCCACTTGAGACTTCAAATGCACCCTCTAGAGTGGAAAACCTGTCTCCACCAAATCAACAGGATGTTGCTTGGGTCAATCAGGATGACCATGATGAGAAAAATACACAATTTAATAACCCAGACACTGCAACATTGAAAGATGAGGGAAGTGAACAGCCTCACTATGCAGATCTATGGCTACTCAATGACTTGAAATCAAGTGATCCTTATAGGTCTTTATCAAATTCGAGCACTGCTACGGGTACAACCGTCATAGAATGCATTAAGTCACCAGAAAGTTCAGAGTCACAGAACTCACAACCTGAATCTCGAGCCACCACTCCTTCTCTTCCCTCAGTTGAGAATGAATTTAAATTAGCCTCACCAGAAAAGTTGGCAGGGTTAGCATCCCCATCAAGTGGCTATTCCAGCCAGTCAGAAACACCTACTTCATCCTTCCCTACACCTTTTTTCTCTGGACCATTGTCACCTGGAGGTAGTAAGAGAAAACCAAAAGTTCCAGAAAGGAAGTCCTCATTACAACATCCTTCAAAGTCTGGCAATCTTTTCTTAAGTAAAGAACTAGAACTTCCAACTATACCTCCTAGTCATCTTGACCTAAGTGCTCTTCATGTGTTACATAAACCATTGCCATACAGACCACAGGTAACTGCTTTTAGTCATAGCAATCAAAATGTGTCAGAGGATGAACTCAATCCAAATTCTTCTCCAGCCCTTGCCATAACACCTTCAGTGCTGAAATCTGTACATCTGAGATCTGTCAATAAGCATCACAGGGACTCTAGGCATAAAGAAAGCACTAACATCCTATGTACCCAAGATCCTACAATAATTGTGGATACATATCCCCATGAGAAAACACCTGTATTAGCACCTAAGAAATCAATAATACATCAGTTCTCCACTGAAGAAGCAATGCTTCCATATATTGATGCATCACCAGTTGATACAAGCCCTGAAGCATTTTTTCAAGCAACTGCCCTTTTTACTGGTCATGGTTTATACAAACCTGAAATGCCACCACCTTTGATCACTAGAACTAAAGAAGATGAAACCGAGAAACACCATAAATATCGACCTGAAGAAATAATAGAGGAAACTATTTTCACAGCAAACCCAGAAACAATAACAAAGTATGTGCAAGATTACTCTGTAGATAGCATTGATTTTGCAAATGATCAAAAGAGTCAGACTAAAGGGGAAGGGCAAATTAAAGCAGAGTATGAGTTACAAATAAAGTGTGACCCATTTACAATGAAAGAACCTGTTAAAGGACTCTACACTGGATTTGATGTGCAAGACAATATTTCTGATGTATCTCAGTTGCCCAGTGAACCTGTCTTAAGCAAGAGTGACAAAGTGCCTGGAAAAACTCTCAGCTTTGAATCAGAAATATTCACTTTAAATCCACTCAGTGACGACAGTCCAGAGCAGGAATATGAAACTGTATCAGGTATTCCAACCAAAAGTGCCTCAGAAGATAGCAGGTCAGAAGATACATCAGAAAGTATGGACGATTTCTCCTGGAGAGGTTAATTTTTTATATTTTCCTTTTAAAACATATGAGCTTCTTGTCATTTTATTATAATTGGAGACATTATTATCTCTTTTATTTATAAATATATTTATATAAATATAGTATATTTATTATTATATTTTTAAAAATATTAGATTATATTTTTTTTACTCTTGGTGCAGGTGCCTGCAGCAGTTTTGTTTTTTGTTTAGCCATGAAATAGTTTCTTCATTAACACATATCAGACCAAATTTAAAGTCTGATTTAGTTATAAAATTTAAGTAGTGGTATTATTTTCTACAATTATAGCAGTCATCACTATATACTGTATTCTATAGCAAATAGTATACTATATTTGATCCTTAGAACACGTATTTAAGAGCCTACAACAATGTGGCTTTCTTTAGTAAATTCAAGTCATCATTAAAATAATGTATGTTGTGTGTATATATAATGTATGCAATGCATTCTAATTTTCTATAGATTCCTCAGTAAGTGAGGACTCTCTGATGTCTCCAATGAGTGAGGATTCCCAGGCAGACACCGATGATGTCTTTGTGTCACCTAACAGGCCCCGTACTACTGAAGATCTTTTTGCAGCTATTCACAGGTAAAATGGTTCATTAGTAAATTGCCACTGATCTCTAATTTCTTATGCATGGTTCAGTAAATTTGCAATGTTTTTTCAAAAGTGTTAGCTAGTTAGCATGACCGCTAAATTAAAAACTGCTAAGGGAAAATTTCAGTGCAAAACCCTATATTAGGAAATAAAATAAAAAAAAAATATAATGAATGAATAAAATGAAGATTGTGGTTGTGGTAATTATTTATCAATTTTATGCTGATCAATCATGTGGCAGAATGCTTCTAAGTTTGCCTGTTTTCAGTGCTGACATCTTGAAACAATAAACCCTTAAAGTCAAAGAAGCCACTTTCACAACTGCCTAAGCTGAAATCTACTGTTAAAGGATAAGTTCACCTTTTAACAAAAAATAATAAATGCACATTTTTTTGCCGATAGATGTGCATTTATTATTTTTTGTTTCATGAGCCTGTAAAGCATTGCACCAGCGATCAGCAGATCGCCTTTTACCATGCAGGTCTCCTGCAAGACCTGTCAGTGTATCTGTGCACCAATACACCTCATATGGGCAAGCAGATACTTACGGACAGGAAGATTCAATGAACCACCATGGCGCTCCACAGTGCCGTGGTAGTTAATTGAGAACTACAAGCCATCAGCTGCAAAGGCTGTTGGAACTTGTAGTGTTCTCATTCAGAATATTTTTTAAATTGTCACAGCTAGTGGGAGGGAGAAAATCCCCCACTAGCTGTCACAACGGGGATCAGGGATGTGGAGGCCAGTATATTCGTAACATGTTACACTCTGAATATGGGTGTAACATGTAATGAAAGGTGAACTTATCCTTTAATCATCTATAAAGAAATATTTCACAATTCTTTGGCTTCTAAAATAGATGTAGAGGTAGCCCCCCCCCCCCAAATTTCAATGTGTGGCCATCCCTGCTAAAACGATTGACTTTTGTTAAAGGAGAATGTTGGAAAAAACCTTTCTCAATCAGTGGCTGCAGCCAATCATCAGCAGCCAATGATCAGTGTATTCTGACATCATTGGGAGCTGCTGTCAGTCCCGGCGTGGGGTGGGGGGGATTCCTCCATCCACCCCATTTGTTTGGATGGAGGAATACGTTAGTTTTATTTTTGTTCAGCCCACTAGCTGACTGAAAAAACTACCCATCTATGGCCAGTTTAAGGCTGAGGGGAGTTGTTTGGTTTTATTGCATGTTTTAGGATGTTTTAATTGTGTTGGGAGGGTTACTTCTATTTTATTATATATGTTATACATATTCATATTCCCCAGCATGGTAGTATTTTCATATTAGTGCAGTGGTGTAAGCTCTTTGTCTTTAATGTTGGTTTCCCCTTGCCCACCACAATGCTTGTGATGATTTTTGAGGTCTTGCAGAACCAATGGTAACCACTATTTTTCAATATTTTTAACACAGATCTAAACGAAAAGTTCTGGGAAGAAAAGATTCTGGAGAGACGGCTGTAAAAAACAAAACAAAAGTTGTAGCTGGACAGCCCCAGCAAACAACACCAGGAAGTTCTCAAAGATCTGCTGGTCTCATCTACAGAAATGCCAAAAAGTCAAACACATCAAATGAAGAGTTTAAGTTACTGCTCCTTAAGAAGGGCAGCAGAACAGATACCAGTTACCGTATGTCAGCTACTGAAATACTGAAGAGCCCAGTAACTCCGAAGTCACTTGGTGATTTGCCCCTAGAGTCTACTTCTAGTTTTGAAGAATCTTTACTATCATCACCTGGCAGTGATGTATTTTCCCCAGTATCACCTTGCACTCCTCGAGCCATGTCAGAAGGATTTACATTAAAGACTGCTGCTTCAAGAGTAGGAAGGTCTCGCGTGCCTCCTGTCGCAAGCAGTAGTCGCTACAGTGTCAGGTGTCGACTATACAATGCCCCAATGCAGGCCATCTCCGAAGGTGAGACAGAAAATTCAGATGGCAGTCCTCACGATGACAGATCATCACAAAACTCTACGTAGGACTAAAAATTGTGCAACTTCTGAATTGCCACAAAAAACATTATAAACATATTGCTGGTCATTATTTAAAATAATTTATATATAAGCCAACAAGAGGAAAGAAATCCCTGCAAATTCACAAATTTGTTGTAAAGTTGGACAGAAAAAATAATTGGTTTGTACCGGTTTTCAATTACCTGGAAAAAAATCCTGCCTGGCAAAAACACTTTTAATTTATAGGAAACAATTGCAGGGTGCTCTAAACATTAAGGGCATAGAACAGCACTGATGAAAAACAAAAAGAATGGACTAAAGAAAATATTAGTGCAATTATTCATCATTTACTACTCTATTAAAATTATGTTTTATTGTGTTTACCTAAGCTAAGCTTTTGTTTAAAAATAGTAACTGTTGATCTAATAAATCCACATTGATGGGGAAGTAATAGGGAAAAGATATTGCTATGGAATAACTACTCATATTGTAAAAAACAAAAAAATGCTGAAATATTTCTTTGCTGAAGTGCTTCCCTGGGAACTAAGCAGATGAGAAAAAAGGAAATAATTCTTGAAATAGGTATTTTTGTACATTAGGGAATAAAAATAGAGCAAGCTTTCAAAATAATTAAAAGAGATTGTAAATAACTTATTTTTGATACATTTGTAAATAGGATTATTAACTAAAAGTGGATATGCAGCCAATCAAATAAAAAGGCATTAGAAATTCTGAAAAATATGTGTAATGCTCATAAATTACGTGTTGCAGCACAAAAGGAATCCAAGATGAAGTCACGAAAGTTTAAATCCTAATTGTATTCTGTGAATACCATCTGCCCTGTTCTGCATCACGGTAATACTGGACATGACCGTTATTAACGAAGATAATAATTAACAGCCTCAAACATTTTTTTACATTTTTAAATAATCATTTTTAAAAGGTGTTTTTATGTATAAATTAATTTCAAAGTACTGTAGCATTTATTCAACCTTTCAAGTTTACCATAGTTTTAAACAGCAAATCCAATGAAATCTGGAAGGGTGCTTTCTTCTTAAGAATCGGAACTAAGATTAGAATGTTTTATAATGGGTACCAAATGACAGGTGCAATGACACAAAAGGAACCAGTCCAGGGGTCATCACAAGTGTTAAGATGGTATCAAGCTACAGGTATATTATTGAGGGAATACAAATTGCACAATATTTTAGGGCAAAACCTTGGTGCAGGGTCTCCTGAATATCGTCTGATGCCTTTTGCCTATGTAGGTGGACAAAGCTATTAAAGCAGCACAAATAGCAACATTGACATGTAGCAACTAGTTAGAAATGATCTCCTAATTGCTATGACTACAGTAAATGTACAACTCATTGGTTGTTATAATATTTGCTGTTGGTACTGCTTTACAGAAAAAGCCTGTAAGAGTTGTCTCTGGTATTTTTTTAAGTTCTGAACTGTTTTAATAGTTTGGAGGGACTATACATTTACAAAAGCTCCTCAATATTTAATTTAATCAAGCATGTAGGAAGATTGCCAGTTATGTAATTTAGGCAGCAGCATTGAAAGCACTTGAAGCTTCCAGTTCTCTATTCTGAAAAATAATATTTTGTTATAGGATTGAGATTGTCTGCAGTGAAAATTTCCTGGAATACTGAAGGGAGACATTTGTTTTTAAAAATAGCAAACATCATAAAGTTGTAGCATGTCTTTTTTTTCTTGTATATGTGTACCCAATTATCCCTACTAGTGAATAAAAGGTGCTTTTCTGTATGACTGAATTAAAACCTGGTTGCATATGCTCCAGTACCCTTAGTGGAAGTGCCATTAAAAGATTAAAAAACTGTGACAAACTGCAAAAGAGCACAACAAACAAAAAAAAGAAACGCACATGTAAAAACAAAAAAAAAAGGAAAATTAATTTAGCAAACACATTCATAATGTGCATGGAATGTGGACAAAGAGGCAAATCTAGTTCTCTGGAGGATGGACTTGTAATGAAAGACAAGAAAATTACATGATTTCACCATTAAAAGCTACCGTGTATATGAAAATGACCACTTGTCAGACATTTAAATTAACTGTAAATGAAGATTTTGATTTTCTTATTAGCTTTTGCTGATGGCATTGATAAATACTTTTTTGTTATGCTGTATGATTTTACTGTATGGGCCAACAGTATACAATATGCATGATGGCTGTTTGATTAACTGAAGCCTAAAAGGATATGGATAGCCAAGTTAATATATCACAGTATTTGTCCTTAACAAGTCAGTATCTGATGCTATGGATTTATTGATGTAAACAATGCTCGCATTTTGCATCAGCCAGAATTATATTTCTATTGCAGACATGGGTATTTCCCACAACTAGAAAATGAACAAGAGAGTGTTTAGGAATCCCAATGGGAATCCTTGTCACACACGCATGTTAAAAGACTCCCTACTAAAACAAAATTTGACATGAAATTATATGTAAATGTCACAAGAATTACAGAAACAATAGCAACAAGATTAAAAGAGCAGTTTGGGAATATAAAAAAGCAGACATTCATACTAACCTAGGTGGATGTAGTATAGGTCCGCCGATGCTGCATCTGTTCCCCACCGCCTCTAAGATCAAGAACCAAGCGATTAAAGACACTGATTCCCTGCTCTGCCCCTTCAATGCTCAATGGAGTGCTAGGCTGTGGAGGGGGCAGGAGTGTGCTGGCTCAGGTTCTTAGTAGCATGCTGAGAGGCTGAGCCAGCTGCCAGTTCAACCACCTAGGTGGATCCCAATATTAAAGTCGGGATCTTTCCAGAACCTGGACCAGCTCAGTGTTGCCATCTGACAGCGGATATGAAATTGGCATCCAGGAATTTCTATTATCTTGCGATGCCCATGCATTTTTGCAATTGTTAAAGCACAATTATTGTGTTGCCACTGTTGTACAGTTAAATAAGATAAGGAAAATGAAATAACCACCTAATCTATTTTATGTCATATTAATGCAAATGCACTGTACTATCCCTGGTATCAAATCAAAGCAATTAAAATACATAGATGAGAATACTTACAGTAGGCAAAAACAGCTATAATTTATTATTTCCAATTCCCCTTTTCTCACCTAAAATCACTGCCCCAGAATAGGTCACATAGCTGTCCCAGTGACCTAGGCCTGGATCAATGCTGCCTTTCTTCAAATCCAGATGTAAGTATTCCACAGTAGTTATTATTCTAACTTTTGTATCCATGTAATACCCATTAGGGGGACATATCTTTGCTGCACTGAAGTAGTGAAGAGTACAGGAGAGGGGAAACATTTTAGCTGGTGTTTCCTTTAAACTGAAAGGACAAAAAATAAGTTAACAAAACCTTTAGAGAGTTTCAGCCAACCTCACATTTCATGTGTCTACATGCACATTTCTTTAACTTGGCAAAGTTTGGGGTAATTCTCATGCTAGTCACATTTTGCTGTGTTGGGAAATGTAAGGAGCTTAAAGAGGTGTTTGTGGCATAACTAGCAGAAGAGGTTGTCTGAAAATGTCATTCACTACCTTTGTATAATCCAAATCATACCTAAGTTTTCTTAAGAAGTATACCCAATTAACATTACAAGTTGAAATTATTAGCACTGGTCACTGTATTAGTGTCACTGGTTCCCACAACAAAAAACCCACTAGTGGCAGTTAGATTGACCACTGTACTATTACAGTCCCGCTGTAAGTCGATGATCGCCGCCATACTTGTATAGAAAAATAAATAAATAAAAATTACGAAATAAATATAAATTCCAGTATATATCCCACAGTTTTTAGACGATATACCTTTCGCGCAAATCAATCAATTTACAATTATTGGGATTTTTTTACCAAACATTTATAGCATACTACATTTTGGCCTAAATTTAGGAAGAAATTAAATTTTTTAACATTTTTTATTGGATACGCTTTATTCCAGAAAGTAAAAAAATATTGGGTTTTGTTTTCCAAAATTGTCGTTTTTTCATTTATAGCGCAAAAAAATAAAAACCCCAGTGGCAATCAAATACCACCAAAAGAAAGCTCTATTTGTGTGAAAATAAAATTATATAAATTTCATGAAGGGACAATGTTGCATGATCGCGCAACTGTCAGTAACATTAACAGTATGGTATAGCAAAAAACAGTCTGGTAAGGAAGGGGGTAAACCGGAGCGCAAGTAATTAAATAAAACGCTGTTAAATGTTCTTTGGTTTTTGGGAGAAAATGGATTTTTAAGAAAGTGATTTGCACTTTTGATTATAAGGTAAGTCATAGCTGTCAGTGAGTTTTCAGTTCTTACAGTTAAAACAGATTAAAGTCAACAATACAGTTGTATATGGAAGAACAAAGAAGGACACCAAGTAAGTTAAGAAGATGGCATTTGGCAGGGTTAGATGTGGCTGATCTGGAATTGTTGTACAAGAAAAGATACAAAGCGGAACTAAACCCACTGATTTAACTGATTCCCTAAAGAAAGCTGACGTTAGAAATGTTCAATGTAATTAGACCCTTAATCAAACATACTAATGTTGTTTTCTACAATGTTTTCAATTACTGCCTACTAGCACATGTTCAGTATATGTTACATTTAAGACTAAGCTCTGGTGACATCAATCACAGTTGCCAGTGTGCTGCTGTCAGCTCTCAATTGGACATTCAGGCCCTTAAATAGAGTGTCATAGCTGGTTATGTGCAGTACCATGGAAACTGTAGACCTAAATAGAGGCTAAGATGGTGCCGTCCTTCGTGGCAAAGGGATAGGAGGGTTTAGTTCCACTTTACGTAACCCTTTCCAGAGGGAAACATGAAGGCTACCATGACTGATGTTCTTCTGCAAAATGGCAGCCTACAAAAGTCGCTCTGGAAAGGTCACTTTTAACAGATGAAACATCAGTAAGTTGCATTGGTGCTCTTTTTCATTAGAGGGAATGTTTATATGAGTCTGCAATTGCTAATTCTGTCTTCATAAATAACTTGTAGAAAAAAAAAAAGCCTGTAAGAATAAATGTATGTGCCACATACATT